TTGTTGACTGAGCATTATTGACCCAAAAGGAAACAGTTTCATCTGTGCAAGTGCCTGAGTTTTATGATAGAATACAGAGGGAAGAGCTGAGGCCTGAGTCTTAGCGATTTTTAACAATCATGAACTGAGAGGAGGAGGGTTAACAAGGAAGTGCAGGAAAATCAAAACATGGGGGAACAATCAGCAGAGTGTCCCAGCATCCAAGGATAATGAGTTGTGAGTTTGAAGGATGAAATTTCGCAGGGAGGTGACAAGATGAATGCCCTTCATCTTGTGATGTGAGATGTGAGAAGAATGTGAGATCTGGCAATTTTTGGTCTAGACATTCGGGCGTCAGATTATTTTAAGCATTGGGTGTGCTGATTCATTTTGTTTGAGACTTTAGCATTGAACTCTATTCCTTTCTTGCTTCAGTGGATTTCTTTCTGCCCTTCACATACAGTGTAGGAGCTATTTCAGATACCACTAATAATGCTCATACTGAATGCCCGGCTAATCTGAACACAACATGCATGCTATAATACCAGGTTCCTGTGAGAATTAGATGAAGAGCGATCGGAGTTTAGTAAACACTCAGCAAAAATTCTTTGTAAATTTTCCAGCTTTATGGCATCTGTATGCTTTGTATCTGTGAATCACCTGAAATTTTCTTCAGAACACATCAGATACCTTTATTGTTCCAGTTCTCTTCATGAACACTTAGGTCAGCATCATGATACATGAAGTTAAAAGAGGTTTGAGAGCTGTGGTTTTATGAAGAACCTTTGATTCTTAACTCAGAGGCTCTTGTAATTATCATGCTAATATATTAGATTAAGTATGCACCACAAACCCAGAACTTCAAAGATAGAAAAGAAATACTGGATTCTTTCTGTTCCTCCCCATGGTTAATGCAGTTCTCTGCTGCCTTTCTCTGTGTCTACCCAAGAAAGAGTGCCAGAGTGAAGGCCTTCTGGGTTGTCCCATTTTGCTGTTTAAATGATGTCTTCATCTTTTCTGGAAAGAACAACCTTAACATTCCGCCAAGTTGCTTGGAAGCAAGTTAAATGGCCTCCAGCACTCATTCCTCTCTTGATAATATTTGGGTGTCTTTTATACTTCTCCATGAAAAGAAAATTTACTGCATGGCAAACCAGGCCAGCAAGGTTTTTCAACAACTTAATTTAGAAGTGAATTATTCTCCTGAATAGACCCATTCTTTGTTTGAATACAAGGCGATCTTTTCATGTGCTTCTCAAATAAGCACCCTACTTACCTCTACCTGAGTTTCCACTAGTGTCATTTAATAAAACTAAATGTACTTTTCCTAATAGAGGTTTCATACTCTCCAATATGCCACCTCCTTAATACAGTTCATACTCTGAGTTCCTTTTATCTAAGTAATAAATCGATGATCTGTGAAGTTTGTTCCCAAACTTTAAAGCAAGCTTGTTGTTCTCTTTGGCATAGAATTTAGGTTTTATTTGCCCCTACATAAGTATTTCCAGTGGAGAGGTTTGAGACTAAGACTGTTTATGATATTACAAATAAACTAAAAACAGAAAGTCCTGTCTAGAACTTAAACTATGACATTATAAATCTATCATTTATTTCATCAGCCATTTTTCTTTGACTTTGAGGGACTTATTTAAGCCATTAAAGTTAATACTTAGGTTAAATGAAGAACATAGGTCATCTCTACTACATGGTGATCTAACTGACTTGTAGTAATATTTATATGGCATGGGTGGTTTTGGTAGATCTGTTGATAATGACAAAATGAAACAATGAAAGAGGTCAGTGTTAAGATCGGAGATAAAGGGTTGGCCAATTACTTTTTTTTTTTTTTATTAACATATACTGTATTATTTGTTTCAGGGGTACAGGTCTCTGGTTGATGGGTGTTACACAATTCACAGTGCTCACCATAGCACATACCCTCCCCAATGTCCATCTAGGGTTGGTCAGTTTCTAAGTAGTTTTCAAATTGGAATTTTTAAGAAGGCAATGAAAACAGTAGATAGACAAACCCCTTTAAAATATATATACCAAATATAAAGGAAAGAATGGGATAATTTCAGAAATTACATCATTATCATCTTCAAAAAGAAGAACAAAAAGGTTTTCTCTGGAAACTGCCTATTGGCAGTTTCTGGAAATTGCCTAGTCTCTGGAAACTGTTTTGACCAGTTCCTGTCCTAGAATACAGTCTTAGAATTGTGGTAGAAAAACTGATATTTACTAAATCTCAGAGAAATCAAATGCACACCCTAAAACCTCTACTGTGAAATTTGTTATTGATAAGAATATTGGCTGTCTGGACAAATCCATTAAACCTAGCTGCATCATGCTAAGCAGTCATGCCAATGCTAATTACAAACTCTAACATCAAATATAATGGATTCTGACCTTGCCAGCCTACTTCATGTGGCCATAGTCAAAAGCAACAACAGGAGACCCAGAGGCTCTATGGCGTTGTTTCTGGACCCTGAGTGAAATTCTTTCAGTTCCACATTCTTGGAACATCATCAAAAGTTCTTGAGAGACACATTCAGAAGCTACTTTATTAGTAGATGTTATTTTCTTAAAGCACACTTTCAAGGAGGGGCACATGAATGGCTTAGTTGGTTGAGTGACCGACCGACTCTTGATTTTGGTTCAGGTCATGATCGCAGGGTCTTGGATCAAGCCCCATGTCAGGCTTTGGGCTCAGCACAGAGTTTTCTCGAATTCTCTCTCTCCTTCTGCGCCTCCCTGCCACTCACAAGGTCTCTCTAAATAAATAAAATCTTCAAAAAAAAAAAAAAAACACTTTCAAGAAGACAAAGAGATTTAAATCAAATTGTTATGTGAGCAGAGTCTCACCAAATAGAGGTCCAAGAAGAATATTTCATTTATGCTGAGATCAGAGAATTATACAAATAGAGCCAGTGATTATCATCAGCCACACAGAACTGAAGCAAGGTATATAATTAATGTCTGTTTTTAAATAAATGCATTTATTTTGCTATAAAAGACATAGAAAAATCAGTTAGCATCAACCCTACACAATCATTGCTTTAATATGGGTGGCAACACACAAAAAATTTTTAACTTATATTTAATGGTATTTTTTTATTAATGCCCTTTTAAAGTATATCATCCATATAAATTTCACTTATAATGTGACAAAGTTCGAAGATATAATTATGGAACAGCAAATGACAACTTATGGTATTTGAAGCAATCTAGCCACTGAAATGTATTTTCGGCATGCTTATTCTCTATTCACTCAGCTCTTTTCCGTCGTTATATGTACTGTTAATACAAGTGTTCAAAATAAGTCTTGGGATGGGGTATGCATTACACAGGTGTTTGTTGTGTTATTGTTTGCTAGTTATTACTGTACTTAGTAATACAAATTACCCAAAGTTATTAATTATAAGGGTATACAACACTAAAGCCTTTCATAATGCCAACTAAAATATGTTTTAGAACAAAATGTTAAGTGATAAACGTGATCTAGTGAGGCATAGAGGTAAGTGCAGCTGGTGGAGGTCATTTAAAACACCCAGATTCAAGGAACAATAAGGAGCCCACTTTTAATAGTTGTTGACTTTATTGCAGGGTCAGAAATAATGTTCTCTTTTTCAAAGGAATCCATTCCAAATTGAAATACTGTTCCTGATGACACTCCTTTCTTTCATCACACTTCTTGTAATTCTCTGCCTTCCCTCAAACAGGGTAGGAAATGACAGTCTTAAAACTCTTTATCCTCAGGGCCTTTCTAATGATGAATTTAGTAAAATTAATTGATGACATTTTGTTGCTCATCTAAGGGCCCTACATGATGGTCATCTAGAACACTGCCACAGCCCAAAGAGCCAGTGTCCCCACAGCAGCTGAGATCACCCCCTTGCATTATCATCCTCCTATGGAGTTCTTAATACCTAATACATTGACACTATGATGTAAGGCCAAAAAATGGTGTGGATGTCTACCAGGTATCTCTAAATATCCTCCATACTGGGAAATAAATTTGATACTGACTATAGGAAAGGTCATATTCTTTTTTAAAATGTCACTTTAGCCCATGTTTATGTAATTCATAATTTAGCTAATTAACCCATCCAAATTCTGCATATCTCTACAGATAACTGCAGAGCCACTCAGCTCACCTCTCATTTTGGCATCTGCACTATTTATTGATTGCTCTTTATTCCCAAGCAAGAACATGTTTCCATCACAAATCATTTGAATAACCCAGTTGAGAATCACTTAAGCATCAAAGCTCTCCAGGGAGATTATACTTCACCATTTTCAGTATTTTGTGGCTATTCAAGTAACAGGTACCATTTTCTCTACTAGACTTAGTGGGAAAATGAAAAATGTTTACAATGTAAAATTTTATAGGATGTTATATTGCAATGGTGGTTTTTATACTTTTAGGCTTTTCTCTCCATAATTAAATTGAGACCTTAAATGTAAATGTGCCACAGGGAAGGATACTGAAAAATAAATATTCACAACAAAATCATTACATTTTTGGACTTTCATATCTTCTTTTGCCAATAGCTTACTGTTTTCATTATCCCTTATGTATTACAGCTTTCCAAATTCTGATCAAAAGACTCACCTCAAATTTGAAAAGAATTAAAGAATGACCCAAGAAGCTGAGATGGATTTTCTAAGGACTAGCTGCTGATTGTTTTGACACCACTTGTTTCCTTAAGAGCTTTTTTCCTAAATCCTTTTAAGAGACAGCAACTAAATAATATTGTTTAAGCTAAAAAGCCACCTTATGGATATTTTGGATAGATGTCATTAATGTTTTTAAAGCATCACTTCTCTCCAGAGTCTAATTCTAGAGTCCTAAAATCCAGAAGGGTGAGTTATGCCTACACAGATTTTCATAGGTCATGTGTTTCAGATTTCCTATAGTGAAAAATATCACTCTCCTATCAGAGGAGTGACCAGTTAAGAAATGCCTTCTCACACTCCATGGTCCCCACGGTACTGATTGTCAATGCCTTTTGTTGTAGGCAGAATACTTCTATGAATTCCTGTCCTTACGCTCCCTGGATAAAGGCATCATGGCAGACCCAACCATCAATGTCCCTCTGCTGGGAACAGTGCCCCACAAGGCATCAGGTGGGTGGTCTTTGCCTTGTGGGGGGGTGGAGTCTACACTTGTAATGGTGATGGGAATAATTTCAAGACCTGGAAGTCACCCATCAGAGGAATCATGGAATGTTTTCCTGAAGAGATCCAATGATTTTAGGGCAGTTTGATTATTATATCCCTACCTCCTTTGGGCAGAAAGTAAGAATGGGAGTGACAAAATGGCTGTTTCCTAATTTGCTGAAGACTTGACATAGTCCTGGTTCATAAGCAATTCCAGATTAAAAAAAGAAAGTCACTACATGAGATATATCCAGCTAATAATTATTATGAATTAATGTAGTGCACATAAATGTGGCAAAGATGCAAAGCAAGTGATTGGGGGAAAATGGGATACATTGAGAAAAACTTTCCCCAAATGAGTATTGTATTAAATAAGAATTTGAAGGAGCAAAGAGACAATGGAAAAGTGGGAGAAATGTGTTAACATATCAGAGCTAATCTACCTTCTCTGCTGAGAAAACACAGTATGGGGTATTTGTTTAGAGATGTTCAGCATGTAAAACAGCAGCTCAGGCCTTCTCCAATTTGAGTTCTGGGAGGGAGTCAAGGCCAGAATTACCACCCCATTGTACAAATTAGAAAACTAAGCCTTCTGAGGCTTCACTGACTTCCCAAAGTCATATATGAGTAATAAGCAGTGAAGCTGAGACCAGGTTTCATGACTTTCAGAGAAGTACAGAGATCACTTATGTTAACATGTTCAAATACATGTGTATTTCTTTCTCATCTAGGAATATAAATTTTTCCATAGTTGTGATAATAGGATATATATTTGATTTTGCACTATAGTTGTTTTTGTTTTTGTTTTTGGCTTTTAACACTTTAACACAAGCATTTCCCAGTGTCATTTTAGATTTTTCCAAAAGTTGTTTTTGATGTCCTTATTATCCATTTTATGAACATACGCATAATTAGTTTACTCATTCCCTTATTGTGTGTTACTTGGACTGTTTTCAGGGTTTTCATACTAGGAATATCACAATAAATATCGTTTTTAAAGTAATAGATGGTCAGTGAGTAGGAGGCCCTGTTTGTCTTATTCATCATGACTGCCAGCACAGGGCCCAACACAGAACAGGACTTCATAAAATACTTACTGGATTAATGTTTGTATCAAAGTCTTAGAGCTGATCTCATTATTTTATTAAAGTAGATTCTTAGAAGCACAATTATTGTGTCAAAGGACATGAACTATGAGCATTTCCAAAGGCTTTTAGAACAAATTGCCGAAATGCCAAATTACTTTCCACAAAGGTTGTGCCCATTTGTACCCTGGCTAGCAGTGTGGGAGAGGGCCTAGCTCACCATAACATCATCAATGTGGGTTTTTAATCATGTGAACTCTTTTGCTGACTTAAAAAGTGGAAAGAGGTTTCTTAGTGTTCTTTTAATTTGATTTTTTTTTATTCCAACCGAGGTAGAAGACATTTTTCTGTATCTATTAAATAATGTAAAATGGGGGCTGCCTGGGTGGCTCAGTGGATTGGGCCTCTGCCTTCGGCTCAGGTCATGATTTCAGGGTCCTGGGATCGAGTCCCACATCGGGCTCTCTGCTGGGTAGGGAGCCTGCTTCCTCCTCTCTCTCTCTCTCTCTCTCTCTACTTGTGATCTCTCTCTGTCAAATAAATAAAATCTTTAAAAAAAAAAAAAGACTTTATAAAAAAAAATAATGTAAAATGTCGGTTAGCCATGCTTATTTTTATATTGAAAATATAATTTATTGACTTGTAATAAATTATATATTTTATATTATTATATATTATTCCTTTTACTTTACTGTTTATACTTTCTGGTATATTTTTCAGTTTATTATTTTTTTGAAGGCAGGGATATGCAGAGTCTAAGTCCTATGTGATCAAAACTATCTTTCCCTTTGTCATTTTTTCCTGACTACTTTTTAAAAAAATTTTATATTTATTTGACAGAGAGAGATCACAAGAAGGCAGAGAGAGAGGAGGAAGCAGGCTCCCTGCTGAGCAGAGAGCCCGACTGGTGAGGGGGACCTCCATCCCACACTGGGATCATGACCTGAGGCAAAGGCCCAGGCTTAACCCACTGAGCTACCCAGGCACGCCATTCCTGACTACTGTTATGCTTAGAAATTAATTCTTCTTCAGAGAGCAATTATGTGATAATTATGTGATAACTAGAACATGCTTCTAGCATTTTATCAAATTTATTTTGACAATAGTATGAGGTAGGGCTCTCATCTGAATTATTTTCCTGAGTATTCAGCTTTTCCTGTGTAAGAGGCTGAATTGATTCAAGATACACCTTTTATTTCACATTAAGTTCTTCCATACATAGAGTTTTAGAGCTTACTATTTGTTCTGATATTATAATATTTTTAGTTTTATAAAATTTTTAAATAACTGATATCATAACCCTGTCCTTTCTAAAAAAAAAAAAAAAAAAATTAGTCTTATTCTTCCAGAGGAATGTTAGAGTAACTTTGGTGTCTAATGAAAATGCACTCCTATAGCACTCCTATAAATCTATGCAATAATTAAGAAATCAGATAGTCTTGTAAAGTCCATTTTCAGGTTTTGGTCATCTACTACTGCCTGTGGATCCTTATTTTTACATCCCAGAACAGAAGGAGCTGGGGACTAAATAAGCAGAGTTTTTTCAGTTTCTTGGCATAGGTATCCATGTGGGTGTAGACAGCAAGAGTGTGAATTTGGGTTTCTCTTGGGTCATCCCTGGGCTGCAGTTATAACTAGCAGCCCTTCCAGAGTATTTGCTTCCAATCTTGATGGGTTTAGGGTTCTAGAAAGGTCCTATGAAGGAATGAGGCCTTGGATTCTGGAGATAAAATCACCTGAGATTTATAGCCCCAAGGCTGTGGATGCCCCTTGCAGATCCATGGGCATCACTGTTCTACACAGAGGGCATTGCTACTGTAATCACATACTGCTACATCACAGAGACAAGAACATTCTTGGAGTGTGGCCATTACTCAGTCTCATGCCATGTCACACAGTGTTTTTTTGCAGTCAAAGATAATTTTCTCGATCATATTTTTTGCTCTTTTTAGAAGCAGTCAGGAGTAAAACAAATACATAATAGATCTTTCAATTTCCATTTTATATTCTTAAGTTTTTCCCTTGCTATTTTCTGGTTATTTAAGGAAAACAAGTTCATTGTAGCCCATTAAATAATTAAATCAATTATACAGTTACACCTGCTGAACTTCCAATAAATCTTGCATCTTTGAGTTTCCAATTTAATGTTTGTAACCTAAATCTTCCCAGCCTTATTCACTTTAGTAAAAAAAAAAAAAAGCTTACTGAAATTCTATTTCTTCTATTCTATTTCTTCAGATATTGAAACAATCCAATTTTGAATATATGCTGTGCCAATATTGAGATAAAGTTTTATCTGAGATAAAACTTCAATTTCTAATCATCTAGAATCTTAATAAATCATAAAATTTAGGGGGAAATGATTGATGTTTTGGACAAGGTAGGAATAAAAAGAGTAAGCCTTCTGGGCTGAGGTGACTTGCCCATGTGCGTGTGCAACGCGCGCACGCACACACACACACACACACATACTCTGCATATACGACCCCCCCCACACAAAACCCCCTACCCCAGTACATAGGGTTTTGAAGGCAGATGTAGGATTTGTTTGCAGAAATGCAGGTGCAAGAAGTTTATGGGAATTTTAGCTCGTTGCAGGGCAGTTATTCATTAGTCTTATTAGCTCAGTCCCCACAGTAGGAGCAGTAAGGGTACCTTGAATTATTAAAAAGTAACCAAATCAGTGTGTCTTTGGCCCTAAACATCCAGGTAGTGTTCATTATTCTACTGGTCTGTTTTATACCCTCACGCTGCTAAGTCGTCCTTTCATCCCCCGAGACTCCTCGATGCCTAAACATTGCACGAAAAAGAACATTCTTGATCTTTAACAGTTACAAAGGGCCTGCCTTCTGGCATCTGAAGAAAACAAAAACAGGAAATACAAACTGCAGGCTGCTTCAGTAAAACTGGATAACAAAAAACAGTTTCCATCAAGCCAAGGCTTTACCTCTTTGAACACAGTTTCTGTCATACCATGAACCCAAGACAGCAGGCTTCTTTCTCAACCAAAGATTTCAGGAATTCCATGTCTAGACATTTTTCAGTAGGTGCTAATGCTGGAGGGAACCCAGACCTCAGCAGGGAGGGTGCTCAGTATTGGCTGAGAGAACGAATGGCGGGGACCACAGCCTGGGGGCACCGATAAGTGTACGGGGGTCGCACAGCGGTTTGTGGTCATGTGGTGCCGAGCATGCGCTCTTGCTCTCGTCCTGTCCCCCCGCTCAGGGCAGTGGCTCTCGTGCCTGGAGGCCCTCCTCTCAGTGTGGAAGAGGAATACTTTGGCTGTTTACGAGTCAGTTTGTTGCAGTCAGGGGCACATCCGTGTGCACTTGAATGCCACGTGAGTTACCTACAATCTGCTTCCGTTTTTCTGGGTTGTTTTAATTTACCTCAGCTTTAGTTATACAATCGAGACTGTCCTGGAATTCATGACATCTGGACCAATTTCATCTGGCTCTCGGTGAAAGCGGCCCTCTCCTCAGTTGCTTATACACAACGTAGCTATCACGTGTCTGTTATTCCCTGAAAGTAGGGCTACTGTGCTTTATCTTCGAGATCTTTTTCTTTGTGTGTGTGTTTTTTGGCATGCACACTGTTCATGTCTTATTCTCCATACCTCCCCCCCCCCCCCCGGTCTATGGGGAACTCGTCTACTTACGGGGATGTGTGCCGGTGTGTATGAGGGTATGTGGGTGTGTCTCCCACAAGGTCTATCTATATGTCTGTCAATGCCTAGTCTGTGACGGTCGATAGGCTAGGTGCTGAAATTACAAAAAAAACAAGGTATGGTCCTTGCGGATGAAAATCTCATCCTTAGTGAAGGATACAGAATCATAATTAAATCATTATAAGAAATCATGTAGAGAGGTATTGGAGAAATACATAAGTGAAATGATTTAGGCAGGGGGTGTTAGGTAAGACTACAGAGAAGGTGACAGAAATGTTTCATTTTGATCTTGAAAGATGAGTAGGAGGACACTGGACAGAAAGGAAGAGTGCGGCCATATATCACATGCGGAGGAACAGAAAGAAATCTAGTTTGGGTAGAGCACAAGTTGCACAAAAGTCAATTACTAACTAAAGTCAGGTGTGGTTTTTGTTGTTGTTGTTTTGTTGTGTTGTGTTTTTATTTGAGGGGGGAGGGGCACAGGGAGAGGGAAAGGCAATCTCAAGCAAACTCCCCGCTAAGCAAAGAATCCAGTGTTGGGCCTGATCTCACAACACCAAGACCATGACCCAAGCTGAAATCAAGAGTCAGGCACTCAACTGATTGAGCCACCCAGGCACCTCAGGTGTTTTGTTGGTTTTTTTTAAGCAAATTTTTTGGAAACATTTTAAAAGCTGTAATTATAATTTATATTACTTGAATAGTCTTATAAATAAAATTTATAAGCAGAAAGGAGGACGGGTAGAATTTACACACACAAACACACACAATTAAATTTCTATTTCAAGTTTTAAAACTGAAAAATAGGTAAATGTCATTAGTGTTATTTACATATCTTTTATTAATTTCTACTTTTATTTTAAAAGTTAATTCATTGAAACTCATAAACTATGTGCCTCCTAACTTTTAAACTTTATTTCCTAGTTCCTTTCAAATCATTCTGTATTGAGATTCAGACCATAATTATGCTGACATACCTCTTGTTTCTAAAGAAATAGGTATGTGTTGGTAAAACTTTTCCACCTGGGCTTGAGGGAATTTGTGATGTTTTCATTTTTAATTGAAGTTGAATTTGTTTAGTTGTGATTATAAATATGTAAGGAAAATTAGCACAGTTTTAAACCTAGATTGTTAGATCTTTAAAGATGAAGAAGGAAAATATTTCACATGAATATTAATATGAATTGAACATAATTTTAGATTAGTACAATAACTCTTAGAGATAGCTTACCTATGGTTTACTAAGAAAATAATGATGCTACATCTTTAGTTATCTGCCAAGATTGCCTAAAATTTTTCATTCAAAAATATAGAAGACTTTTCTTTTGCATTTGACAGAATTAGGCATAACTATGCTGTATGAGTGAATGCTTTGATAAATTGTTTTTGTTTTTGTTTTTGTTTTAGAGAGGGAGAGAGAGAGAGGGAAAGGGGAAAGAGTGGGGCAGAGGGAGAGGGAGGGAGAGAATCTTAAGCAGGCTTTATACCGAGTGCAGAGCCAGACATGGGGCTCGATCCCACAATCCTGAGACCATGACCTAAGCAGAAACCACGAGTTGGATGCTCAACTGACTATGACACCAAGACTCCCCATCAAGTGCCTTTTTTAAAGAATTAAGTGGACTGTGAAGTCCAGGCTAAGTAAGGTCCAGAAAAATAGATGCACCTGGAAAACAATAGTTCGAAAATTTTATAACTGAACCAAGTGAAAATGCATTGGAAGAGAAATTTGTCAACTCTTGCTTCTTTTTGAAATGGAAATCCCTACAATGGATTTTTGTGTTTTAGAAATTGACATTTTTGTGTCTAAGATTTCATTAAAGCAAGGCTTTCAGCAAGGACAATTTTACTTTGAAACTTCAGGCACAATTTTGGTTTTCTCTCTCTTTTTATATCTGTTAAAATGTATTTCCTTTTTATTGTTTAATTGATTAGTTGCAATGCTTGGATCTCAAGATTCAGGAGAACTGGAAAGACATACTATTTTGAGAATGGCACAGTAATAAACACTGACAATGTCAAAGCTTTGAGAGGGGTTTTTGGTTGTTAAGGGCATTGAAAATATTGCATGACCAGCTCGCGTGCAACACCTTATGGAAGAGCAAACCAATTTCCAAATCATTCCTTCTTATGAGCTTAGGGGAAAGGTTTATGGAAACTCTAAAGGGAAAGATTTTTCTTGGCTCGGTATGACTTCCCTAAGCTTGGTAAGAATAACCTGCTATATACAAACAAAATGAAACAAAATTTCAAATATCTACTTATTAGCAAAATTTCTTCCTATTTATAAGAAAGAACTAGAGCCTATTGGATAAGTTAGATCAGTATTCCCCAATGGATATGTTATGATAACCTGGTAGATTTTAGAAATTTATATAATCGAGGACTCAGTTGGCTAGGCGTCTTTACTCTTGATCTCAGCTCAGGTCTTGAGCTCAGGTCCACATGAACATGGAGCCTACTTTAAAAAACAGAAGAAGAAGAAATTTACATAATCTCTCTCTTAGCCAATGACTTGATCCATTTTCCACCCACTGACTTGTGGGCATTCCAGAGTTGGTGGCCTCCTTGCTCTCCCAGTACACCATCATCATTAGTTGTCATTCTTTGCTAAGTCAACATCTACATACCCCAAGTGATCATTACACTCACATACACATAAAAATAGCTTGTTTTTAGGAAGCTAAACTGTTAGATATAAGCTTATTTTATTATACCAAACTCCCGTCTAGATCCCCAAGATATGAACGCTCCTTAATATTAACAAATAGCCTGAGAAAATATTAGCTTCACAAACTCATTCCAACAATTAGAGTCTAGTCTGAGTTGTAGAATATTTCCAAAGAAAATATTGTGTCACTTTCAGGCACACAAAGTAAAAATAAACTAGTTTCTATGGATCTTTATTTAATAGATTCTGGAATACTGTTTTTTAGCTGTTTTTTTTTATTATATGGAGGCTGGTGAAGGTACCCACAAGGTTTCTTTTCCTAATTAATCAATCTGTGTTGCCTATTTGCACCTTTAATTTTTAAAGAAAATCTTTTTTTTTTTTCAAGATAGTACAAGCCCAGACTAGGAAAAAAATATCCCAGATTCCATATTAGCAGAGCACAAACTAATGAGTTATTCATTCTTTCTCCACCCAGCATGATATGTAAGTTCTGTGGAAAACACCCATATGGTCAAAATACAGTCTCTACTCTGGTGGAGATACAAGACTATCAAATAATGCAATGTGACCATTTTTGCTTTGCTTTGTCTCTCTTACCAAGATTTCTATGCAACTGGAATCAACTAGATAAACTCTTTCTTTATACTTGCTTTTTCCTTAGTTGTTCAAGTTGGTTTCCCATGTCTTGGAAAACAAGATGGAGTGGCAGCATTTGAAGTGAATGTGATTGTAATGAATTCTGAAGGCAACACCATCCTGCAGACGCCTCAAAATGCTATCTTCTTTAAAACATGTCAACAAGGTAATCAGTAATCCCCATCAAGAGAAGGCTCATAAGGCTTTCAGGTGTGATATGGGTAAAAAGATAGATAATCGACAGACAGATAATTTTTTGGTATAATTATAACCTCACCAATGGGTAGAGGGGCTGGTTACTGCAGAGTCCAGTATGGTATTAAGAGCTTTTCTCTGCTGTGACACCACTCACAATTTTAACTACCAATACCCCTTCAAAAGCCATCTCTTCTACCTCTCTCTTTCCCCTCCACCAACACAATCTTTGGGAGTCCCCAACTTCATAGCAAGGTTGCCAGGCATTACCAGCAACTACCACCTGTTAAGGCAATACTACTTATACCCCCACCACAAGCTTGGTGCTGCCGACCTCCCCAGAGAACAGGGTACCACCGTCATAACAACAATGTCTGCCAGGCAAAGGCATCTCACCCTGATGCCCATTTAAGCGTGAAGGCCTAGATTTCTTTCCCCATCTTGATGCAAGATTTTCCAGCACAGAATTTAAGCTCTAGAGGCCTTCAGTGCTCTAAAGATGAACCAAAAGGCCATTCCACCCTCTGAAAGTAAACGTTATGGGCTATATCATTTATTTCAGTGTGAATTTAAGAAAGTCCAGTAGATTGATAGGTGGGGGTGAAGGCAGAATAAAGCTTGCTTTGCCTTCTTCCGTGAGCCCCCTACTGCTGGAAGTAGAACGGAGAGATGCAAAATCTGGCTTTGTTGAGGATTTAGTGAAGCACAAGAGGTATAGAGAGAATATAGGTAGAACTTACCAGTATTCAGTAAATTAGGATAATCAGGGCACTTCGGGTAGAGGTCACCTACCTCTTCATGCTTGCTGTAATTCACCCAACACAATTTCAGAGGTTTCCATATAACCATGTTTCTCTTTGGTGAAGCTGAATGCCCAGGAGGGTGCCGAAATGGAGGCTTTTGCAATGAAAGACGCATCTGCCAGTGTCCTGATGGATTCTATGGCCCTCACTGTGAGAAAGGTAAAGAACGGAGAGAGCCAGCTATCCTTCCTTGCTTCCTAATGAAACTGATGTCACACAAGAGCCCCACATAAGCTTTTTTAACACAATCTTTGAAATTATTTTGCTGGTCCTACCATAAAATTGGTAAAATCTTAAAGAGCCGCAGAAGAGCAGTTGGAGAGTACTTCTAAGAGTGGTTTTCTGTTAAATCCAATATATGGTGATGGGGCAGAGAATGTTAGCACAATGTCTGCATTCTTCACGGCCACGACCCACCCCCATCCCTAATTCACTATTATACACACTATCCTTTGGCATAATCTTATGAAAGTTTTGAAGTTTTTCTCCTCCACTTAAATTGGATTTAAAAAGCTAATTATTATGATTGATTTGACAGTAGCTACTCCAATTCAAAGTAACTTGATTCACAACTAAGTCTACACCTGAGTTATGTAGTTACTATAAAGCCAAAAAAAAAAGGTAAAAATTATTTGTATTGTAAGTATATCTAACTCAGTGAAATTACTACTATATGAAAGAGTTAAGAGGAAATTGTGGATTAACCACAGAATGCTTAAATACCAACAGCTTATTTGATGAGAGTAAAACTAAGACATAAGAATTTTTCTCATTTGCCTATATTTTGGAATTAGAAGATGTAGGAAATAGGGCACGGAAAAATATTTAAAATCTTAAGAAACCCACGTCTTAATCAAAGTAATGATTCTAGGCAAATTTTCATCAGCCACTGAAATGGAATAATTCCAAAATTCTCATCTATGAAATTAGTTTAAAAACACCTCATTTAAAAAAAAAAACACCTCATTTACAATTCATAAATAATAAAAGCATAAAAGCACACCTGTATCTCTAAAGACCTTAGAGTCAACCACAGAGATCAAAAAATGTAGAGCTATTGTATTATCGATGTTTCTGAAACGGTCCTTCCCCAAAACCCTACTTGGCCTTAATCAGAGCCCTCTCTCTCTCTCTCTCTCTCAGCCCTTTGCACACCACGGTGTATGAATGGCGGGCTTTGTGTCACTCCTGGGTTCTGCATCTGCCCACCTGGGTTCTATGGAGTCAATTGTGATAAAGGTAACAGTTTCTTTCTAAGAACAAGGTTCTTTTTACTTTATAAATGTTTAGTTAAAAGAAGTATATTTGATATACCATCACTCTCCATAATAGCTCTATTAATAGGGTGTAAAACTTCGTTGGCTGCTATAATAACTTTAACCCCAAATTTTGGTGTAGTTCAACACACTAGAAGTTTGCTTGTACTCATAGAATGCTCCAGTGCAGGAATCCCTACAGTGGGCGGGGCTGCCCTCCATGCTGTGATTCGAGGACCCTGGCACCTTCCACCTAGAGATCTGGAACTTTCAGGAACCAGTCAGTGAGCAGAGAAGGAGATTGGAGTAGACACTGATTTAAAAAAAAAAAAAAATCCCAAGAAGTGATTTCCAAAACTTCCACACCTATTCTGTTCCATGGAGAGGAATGTGCCTCATGGTCCTACCTAGGTGACTGTCCCGGGTACAGACTGGGCAGCTGTCTCCCACTGACAACTTGACGGGAGGGGAGCATGGAGTTTTGTGTACCACGTGGGGTTTGGGTATGTCTTCAATCTGTTTTATGGGTGAGCTTCTAAGACTGAAATGAAACAACCTGCGCCACCTTTCCCGACTGACTGCCAATTCAATGATCTGCTCGCAGAGGACAGCCGGGAGAGATGGTTTTCCACCTTCCTGTGACGCAGCACTGTCGCCAGGCTTGCTCTCAGAAAGTGGGTTCAAACTTGGCTCTAAAATATTGAACGGTCCATAGGCTTTACAAGATACCAATTTGTTTTGCCTGATTCACATCTTTTATGGGGGAAAAAACTTAAATAATATTATGCAAAGTGTATATATTTATTGACATTATCCTTGTGTCAAAAACTCCCATTGCGTGAGTAGAACCTTGTTTTTTAAAATAAATACATGCTATGAAATGAAAAGATATGTTAGTTTTGAGAAGTGTCTCTTCAGTGATCATGCTGTCAACATCAATTAAGATTGAAATGAACCACTTTTTTAAAAAGAAGGAAGAGCTCCCGGAAGAATCCCTCAGCACGAGTCAGAAGAATAATTCACAGGGGTCTGCTCTTCCATGATACGTAAAGTACTTCACAACTTTATCTGATTTTACACTCAACAGCCTTTTGAGATATGTAAAGTTGTATCTGCTTCATTCTCAGAGAAGCGAAATGAAGTTTACAGAACTCTGGTAGCTTGACCCGAACTCACACCCTCTGGGGTACTGTGTTGTCATTCAGGCTACCTGTTGGGGTCCCCATTCCTCCTCAAGTGACTCTGCATCTGGGCTGATGACTTTGTCTCCCCGTGGGTCACACTTTTCCTGTCTCTAAAGTTGTTTGTTTTTTTTTTTTTAAGATTTTTATTTATTTGAGAGAGAGAGACAGAGCACGAGTGGAGGGAGAGGGAGAAGCAGACTCCCTGCTGAGCAGGGAGCTCAATGCAGGGCTCCATCCTGGGTCGCTGGGATCATGACCTGAGGCACCCAGGAGCCCCTCTGATCTCTAGATTGGGAATTAAGCCATTGCCCCTGGCTCCCCAGCCCCAAGCTGGGGAGATAATCTTTGTGACCATCTCTAACATTTATTTTTAAGTGATGTAAAACTAGAGTATTGGATTTAACTTAAAGTTTGGATTCATAAAGGTTAAGCACTAAGGACAAGATAAGAACAGCCAGTGAGTAAAAAAGTTTCTTTTTATTTGTCAAAATTTAGCACTCAACATCTCCGCTCTTCCAAAATTGGGCAATTCTTAATATAGAATTAAACTCAGATTATCACAAAACTTGTTAGGAAACAGCAAATCCCTCAGAGGTTTGGATGAAGAACTCAGGTATGAAGAGGTTTAAAGAGATTGTTTGTGAGGGCTGCTTACTGAGATGTGACTGTCATTGGTATCGTCTGAACAATGGAGTGTCAACTGCAATGTTTTTCTAATGCTATGGAGTCACAAACACTGTGTGGTCACTGTCGAAGGAAAATATGTGGATTCCAGTATGTTTTACACTTTGTAATATTTTACATTTCAGATGAAATCTTTTCCCTACTTCTTAGACTCCAGTAACTTTTTATTATTATTCTTTTGGAAAGTCTGTTGAAATTCCACTTGGTCTCATTGGAGATCTGGGAATATTAAAAAATAATGGCTTTTACTACTTCAACAAAAAGATGCATTTATCATCCAGGAGGGAGTATAGAGCTTCTGAAAAATGGTTTAATTACTGGCACAGAACTAGAGCTGAGCATAACATATTTGAAGCAATATTAAAGGTGAACTTTTGGTGGCTCTTGGGACTTCTGTTGCCAGCTTTAGGAAATGAAAAGTTAAGCCCTGGCCCAGCATGCCCTCAGCCCCAGTGAAAGTTACCTGGTGCCTCTGTGCATTTTCCTAGTCCAGAATCATTGCACAACAGAAATGTAGAGAAGCTTGCAAAGAATTGTACAAATACTAAGAGCATGGCCACATTCTTTAACTAGCTTTGTCATCATTCTGAGACTTCCAGTTCAGCTCCCACGTTCATCCCATTTTATTCATTAGAAGGGGTAGTGCCCAGAGGGCTCTAGCCAAGCAGACCCTGATCCTGATGTTTTCTTGTCTCTTCTTCATTCCCCAGAAGACACAGGGACAGGTGGGGAGACAGAATCACACTTGCAAAAACAACTGTCCTGCCGTAACAATACTAGGTGCAGTTAGCAAGGAGGAAGCCCAAAGAGCTGGTTCTCCTAAATCCTAAATTCTATACCCAAATGCTGCTGTTCTCTTCTGCATTGGGAGGCTGTGTTTGCCAAAACAAGTACAGCATTGCCTTAAGAGGGCAGATCCTTGTGGTTTAAACAAAAAGCTCTATCATATAAGAAGCACGATACTTGCAGGACATGCAGGTTGGACTGCTTTTCCACAAAGAAAGCATACATATAAATTTTGGATCTCCTCTCTGATTTTCCTACTGGAAGCTTACTTCAGCATATGTTCATCTGCAGCCAACTTTGGCCCATTTTATATAGGACAAGAACAAATAGGCCCTATAACTGGAATTGCTGAGAATCCAAGCTCTCATTTTCATCTCCTTTCTAGAAGGAGCCAATTCGTCTATTTTTAGATACTTGCTCCACCCTCGTCCCCATTTTTGTCCTCCCTTTATTTTAGGTGTGAGCAGTGAAATTCCAGAAGTCGACACAAAGACAGGGTTTAGGATGAATCACAAACAGTATGATTATTACCTGGAAAATCTAGTTAATTGGACCCCCACAATAATCTGTCCAAGTAGCTGCGGCACGCTTCCCTTCCTGTGGGATCTGAGGAGGATTGATAGTCTGTCCTTTCCCGAACACCGGGACTCCTTCCTCCAAATGTCATAAAAGTCTATTTTTTAAAATCCCTATTACATAAGATGAATCTCTGTTCTCGTTCTGGAAAAAAAAAAAAAAAGTTGCTTTCTCCTTTGCCAGCTCCTAGTATTTATGGCCTTTCTCCCTTTTATCTATTCTAAAATAAGTCTTCTCCTTTTTACTCTTCTTTTAACGTCAAAAAATATTTTAGGGTGTTTATAGTGTTCCTTTTTTAAGGGCATATTTACAAGAACATAAAAACCTAACTTTTTTTTATACATCTTGCCTTTTTTTTTTTCTCTAAAATAGAAGCCCCCAGGGGGAGAATCGTATATAATGTATGTGCTATTCTATTATGGTATTGGAATCTGTCAATGATCAAGCAATTGGTTACCATTTTTGCATTTGCCAAGTGGCTTACTTGACTAAGTAAATGGGCAGGAGGCAGATGTCTCAGAAATATCACCTCACTTTAAGTGAAGTTGGATTTTTTTTTTTTTTTAAGGTTTAACCTACTCTCTAATACAGTTACCCATGTTATCCATTCTAATAGCAAACTGCTCAACCACCTGCTTTAATGGAGGGACCTGTTTCTACCCTGGAAAGTGCATTTGCCCTCCAGGACTAGAGGGAACACAGTGTGAAATAAGTGAGTATTGACTTTCTGCACTCTTTTTGTTTCTGGGGGGTAGAGGGGAGCCTCAATACTTCACCTAACCCCATCATTTTTTCAGTGAGGAAACTGAAGCCCAGAGACAATGAATAGCTTATCCAAGGTCTCAGGTCAGTGGCTTCTTTTCACTAGATATAGCCATCTTCATTTTTCCTAAAGATTGGGCAGTGGGCGCCAGATGACTTCGAGCCCACACTCTGACTCAGTCATATCTGGGTTTGTATTGTTTGGCATGTTGTATTGTTTCTTATTAGTGAGTTTGTCCCCTTCTCATTGTGCAGAGACCCTCGCTTCAGCTTATAAATGTAGACCAGAGTTTTGGGACAGGTGGATTATCTACCTGCGGGCATAGAATTTCTTCCCTAAATTAGAGCCAGTAACCCATCTAAGAGGAAGGGATAGATTCAAGGAAAAGGGAGAAAGGGTGCACAACAATTAAAAAAAAAAAAAAAAAAGAACAAACTAACAGCACACAGTACAAAAATGAACTGCACAGATGTTACGTAAAGGGAAAAGTGCATACTGCACGATTCCATTTTTATGAAGTTGAAGAACAGGCAAAATTAAGGGATGATAGTAGAAACCAGGTTGGTTGTTGGGGGCACAGAGGAACTTTATGGGGTACCAAAAATGCTCTATATCTTGATTGATGAAGTGTCACATGAATGTTTATTTTGGGAAAAAAATAGTTGAGCTATGAACTTCAGATCAATGCAGCTAGGTCTCCATCATGCCTTCATGATATTTTGATCATGCTTCCATACAAAGAAAAAAAAAACTTAAGGGTGGAATGTGGTAGAGAGTCATTTTTTTCAGAATCAGGATGTCAAACTGCTTATCCTGGCTCCTCCCCCTACCAGCCATGTAACCCTCAGCAGATCGCTGAATCTTTCTATTAATCTCAGCAATGAGTCAACCGCATCCTAGATTGCTTCATGATCCAGAAAACAGATAACACCAGTGCTCCATGCAGGAAGGAGAAAAAGAACGTGAAGCATGTCTGCTAAGGGTGCCCTGTCGCTGCCTTTTTGGAAGTTCTGGAATATAGCATTTTCATTTCCAGCCATATTGTATCTGTAAAATACTGCTGTGTTTAGTACCACCATAGTTTCTGAAGTGGGTTGCAGTGGGCTCAAAATTAAGTAATATTGACAACTATTTTATCTTTCAACCTCTAATTTATTTGTACTTTAATGAGTAGTAGATGAAGTAACCATTTTTGATAGAGTTCAAGTGAAATACCTCTGAAGTTTCCATAGAACATGTAATTAATTGTCAGGATATGGTTTCTGTTCTTATTAATTACCCTGAACTGATAAAAATTTCTCTGAACTAATTCCCCTCAATTTTCTCCCCATACTTACTCTCAGACTTCACTTACTTAGCTAAATCATATTTATGAATCTTTGTTCTTGGGTTCATTTCTCTACATGTAAGTATGTCCTTGGGTTTACAACTTTCCATTGGCAGAGACAATGATTTCTATTCCTTTTTTCCCTTACTACACCAAAAATGTAGGCCTTTGAAGGCTCCTGATTATCCCTATCACAAGTTATCCTCAAATCCCTCTAGGAAATGTCTTGTTTCTATTACAAGAACCACAGTACCAAGAAAATACGGAAATGGATCTTGAGTTGAAAAGTGCCTCTGGTATAGTAGAGACAAAAAATTGAATTATGAATTCTTATTTTAAAATTGAGATGTAATTCACATACCAAAAAATTTACCATTTTAAAATATGCAATTCAGTATATATTCATGAAGAACAGTACCATTTCTGTCTCATTCCAGAACATGGCATTAGACATGTCAAAAGATGTCAAAAGACACCCTGCACCCATGAGCAGGCACTCACTATTCCCCTTTCCCCAAAGTACTAGAAACTACTAGTCTACGTTCTATCTCTTCAGATTTGCCTATTCTGAACATTTCATATAAATAGAATCATATAACATTTTCCCTTTGTGTCTGACTTCTTTCACTTAGCACGATGTTTTTGAGATTTATCCATGTTGTGGCATGTATCATTACTTCCTTTTAATTGCTGAATAATATTCCATTGTGTGGATATACAAACCATCTTTTGTTTATCCATTCATCAATTTACAGACATTTGGTTGTTTCCACATTGGGGTGATTGTGAATAAAGCTGCTGTGAGCATTCATGTACAAGTTTTTGTGTGGACATATGTTTTCAGTTCTCTCAGGTATATTCCTAGGGATGGAATTGTAGGCCACATGTTAACTCCATGTTCAATTTTATGAGGAACTGCCAAACTGTTTTCCAAAGCCACTGTACTATTTTACATTCCTACCAGCAATGTATGAAGGTTCCAGTTTCTCCACATCCTTGCCAATACTTGTTATTGCCTGTTTTTTTCATGAGATATATATTCTGATGTTACTTATATTTTCATTTCCCCTGGCATTTATTAGGACTGATATCTTCTCAAACTTCAGTTTGACTTAATTTAAGATACTCTTTCCAGTTAACAAATAACATCAAGTTTAGAAATATCTGGAAGTAGGGAGTATACATTTATCCCGTTACTTAAGGTTCATAGCTAGCTATCCCAAGTGAACTTTCAGTTAAAAAGTTTACATGGATTATTTATGCTGTATTATAAATGAAGTTTTAAAATAACATAATGGGTTCTTATTTTTATAAAAGTCCTCTGTAACATAGTGAAAAGAAGGGGAACATGCATCCCAATGTTCATAGCAGCAGTGTCCACAATAGCCAAACTATGGGAGGAGCTGAGATGCCCTTCAACAGATGACTGGATAAAGAAGATGTGGTTCATCTATACCATGGAATATTACTCAGCCATCAGAAAGGATGAATACCCACCCATTTGCATTGACATGTATGAAACTGGAGGGAATTATGCTAAGTGAAATAAGTCAAGCAGAGAAAGACAATTAACATATGGTTTCAGTCATATGGGGGACATAAGAATAGTATGGAGGACCACAGGGGAAGGGAGGGAAAAATGAAGGGAAAGAAATCAGAGAAGGAGACAAAGTGTGAGAGACTCTGGAATTCAGGAAACAAACTGAGGGTTACAGAAGGGAGGAGGGTGGGGCGATGGGGTAGCCTGCTGGAGAGTATTAAGGAGGGCACCTGTTGTGATGTGCACTGGGTGTTATACACAACTAATAAATTGTTGAACACTACATGAAAAACTAATGAAGTACTATATGTTGGCTAACTGAATATAATAAAAAAATAAAAAATAAAATGAAATCTATGGGACTAAAAAAAATAGTCCTCTGTATAAAATATTCTTTATAAAAAAAATTAGAATACCGAATAAAACAATTAAAAATCACCTATAATCCTAAGACGCAGAGATGATAGTTGTTGGCACTGTTATAAATCATTTTTGTTGGTTTTCTATGTGAAGCAGAGTCACACATTTAAGTTACCCTACAATCCGATGGGCAGAGGAAGTTTAATGTCCTTATTTTGTCAATCCCTAACTCATTGTTCTCCCTGGACCCCCCCCCCCCCACTCACTGGTTATAGTAAAATGCTAACATATAAACTTAGTAAAATTTGTTTGTCTTCAGGCAATGTTTAGTCTGTTCTGGGTAAAAATGTGTAATCTTTCAAGTTGGCTCACTTTTCCACTGTCCAATGGATCAAATTTATTGCGAAATATTTTCAGGAAAAGGAAGTCAACATTCAAGACACTTAGAGGATTCTGATTTTTAAAACAGTCACAGCTTCATGAGGTTTTGGCTTCGTAAGATTTGATTTGGAATGGCCTTGGGATAGTCGCCTGTAGTCACATTTCTGCTGTGTGATAACCAAGAGAGAACATCCTTATTCCTGGCTGTGGTGAACCCAAACACTCACTTCCCTCTGATAAAGAAAACAAAAAGACCCATGGAAGCAATGAAAAGGTTCTCTCCACCAGTCATTCTCTGTGATATCCCTGGCTATCAAGTTCACCTCTCATTGAAGTGGGGAACTTGGTGTCACCAAGTATTTCACAATAAGTACTATATTTTCTGACATAGGGTTATTGTCCCACATCTTGTTGACTTGAAAAACCCAAGTGCATGGCAGAATACTGTGATAGGATCCAATTTGGTACATATGGTGAGGTCAGATATTTCATTGATACAAATGGAAATTCAGAGTTAGGCATTCCTTTGCTTTAGGTAAGACTTGGGATCTTGACCAAATAGTAAATGCTATTATTCTAGCATTGTCTTAGCAAAAAGGAGACTTTTGGATTTTTAATAGTCAATGAAAAGGTGGTGTTCTATTATTAAGGTCCTTTGATGCCTGTTTCTAGAACATCCCTGCATCAGAAAAACTTAAAGGTATAATGGCATTCCAGGTTTTTGAGAGACTCTAACATCTCAATATTATGTCTCTATTGTCTGCACAATGGCTAAATGTTGCTTTGCTGAATTTATACATTGGAGAAGGTCCTTTCGAATAAGTGAAAAGAGAAGTAAGTGTTTCAGCAAAATAATTTGCATATGGAATTTATGTTTATCAAACATAGCGCTTGCTCGTAAAACATAGGGTAGCTCACTTCATTTGAAGGCTCATTTGACCATAAAAAGAAGAGCTTAGAGAATAAAAGTATGTTTTATGATAAAGATTTCATTTCTTCTCCTTATGTATTGAGACTTTTGTAATGAGTATTCTGCTGAAATGTAAAAAAAAAGAAAAAGAACAACAATAAAAAAAAAAAATCCAAATCCCTTCACTCCCAAAACCTAATGGGTATTTGCTCTCTTTGGAATGCCATCATGCTAGTCATGGGATCCAGTCAGCTCTGGGTGAACCATCCTTTTTCTTCTACTTCTTCAAACCATCCAGCCTTGGGATGGCAAATTCTAGATTGCAGAGGGAGAATAAATAGCTTCTGGAATAAAAGACAATCATTTTATCATTTTTACTTCTAAGGCCCTACTGCAGCTCTAAAATCCTGTAACCCAAAGAGCTGTGAAAACATTAGCAATTCTCATTTGGCACGGGCATAAAAGAAAGAGTGATATATTTTGAGGCCCTAAGACATTCTAGGAAAAAAAGCATTGGTGTGGTATGGGCCCCCTTTGGTGCCCTACTTCATATCTCCTCTCAGCCCGTTTTTCACTCCAGTCACTGCTGTGCAAACCTGTTTTGTGTGGCATAACCTGATCATACCCCATCTTAGTTGCTCCACACTTCTTCTGCTTTCTACCCAGAGACTCCTATGAGTCCTACAAAATCAGTCAGCACTCACATAAGGGCATACTGGAAGTGTGAGGAAGTCATTCCATAGGGTGACTCTCAACCAGTGAAAGACAGGTGCCAATGAACAAATGCTCCCCTCTCCCTTCTTAAGAGTGACTTGAAGGTGCCGTGTCCACAGCCTCTCAGAAGAATCCCACAGGATAGAGCCTGGTTGCCTATAGTGATGACCAACCCACACACACACTTTTGTGTTGGCTTTCCTTCCTTCCATTCTTTCTTCTCCCTGTCCCCCATTCTGGTTTCCTAGGATCACTTTAACAAAGAGACTCTGCATGCAAGCCCTGCTCTCTGGAGAATCCTAGGCTGGAAAGATACTGCTGCTCACAGGTGTAGGTCTGCTTTCAGAAAGAGTGACATTCAAAGTCAGAACTCAGAGAAAAGATCACTTGGCGGCTTATTCACATCTTAACCTGTACTGTATCTTAAATTACAAGTGTTTGCAAAACAGAGTTTTATTCTGCTTACCAAAAAAGTCATATACACATAGCATGTGGGCAACAAATTTATCGTTAACAGATATCCATTAGAAATCACAAGTGACAATACTAGCCCGTTTGTTCCAAGAATGAAACTCCAGCGGTATCAAAGCCAGAGCAGGTCTGAAATAAGTGGGAATTGGTGCCATCTAAAAGTACTTATCCTCTCAAAGCCCTGCAATTCCCTTGAAAAACGTGAATATCTCTGAATGAAGCACCGAGTTCCTGGCTTCTCTGTATCCTTCTCTGTTTCAGGCAAATGCCCGCAGCCCTGTCGAAATGGAGGTAAATGCATTGGTAAAAGCAAATGTAAGTGCTCCAAAGGTTACCAAGGAGACCTCTGTTCCAAGCGTAAGTACCCAGAATCAGTAAGTACCCATCCGCAGAATCAGCTCGAGCTCGGGGATCTCTTCCTACACAACTTCTGGGCCTCCTGCATGTTGCCTGAGCATCACCATGATGCTCAAGGACATCTGTGTTCCCTTTCTCTAGAACAAAGACATTTTATGAAATCCATGCATGTGAAAACATGGACACATTCACACACGAGCAACTCAGCTTTTTAACTATTTGGGGTTTTCTTAAGGAAAATGAGCTTCCATTCCAGCAGTTTCTGAGTCCTACTGAGCATCTTTTGTGACTCAGAAGCATCAAGCTTAGTTTACCATCTCTCTCAGGCCTTTTTTCAAAAAGTCCCCAACTGACTTAGAGCTGGAGAATGGCTTAGAAAAACAACAACAACAACAAAACAACAACAGGGGTGAAGCCCAAACTAATACATTCTAAAGAACTGCAGGAAAGGCAACTAATTCTGTTGAACAGTGAAAGCTCAGGAAACACTTTGTATCTCCTCCGGTTCTAGCGGTCTGCGAGCCTGGCTGCGGTACCCATGGAACCTGTCATGAGCCCAGCAAGTGCCAATGTCAGGAAGGCTGGCACGGAAGACACTGCAATAAAAGTGAGTGGGAGGCGTCTGGAGAGCCCGCCTCTAGCCTATCTTGGCTCCCGCAGCTATAGATGACCCGTAACTCAGCCCTGCTTCCCATGTTTGCCTCCTGTCCCCCGGGCTCACCCCTGGCCCCCTCAACTCTCTAAACCTTTGAGCCTAAGTTTTAGAGTCTAAGGGCATTGCAGCTGTGCAAATTATCACATCTGTAAAATAGCTCCACTTTTCTAAGTTAAATCAGTAATTCAGGTTGATTTGGTAATACAGTGTGGTAACTATGAAAGAAATAACAAGTATAAGAGTCTAAACCAAATATATAGATCTGTTTGGCTCTGATTTTATCCTTTAAGATCTACCCGTGAGCATATAAAACATAAAGAATTTTGCTCTTGAGGATTACTAAATATTATTAGTTGTGGTATGTTTCAAATAAGTTCTTTTGAGGCAGAAAAAAAAAAGAAAAAAAGAAAGAAAAAAGAAGGAAAGAAAGAAAAGGTCTAGGGAATATGGAGTTGTGGATTTTAAAATTTACTGACTACCCAAAAATGAGCTAGCTATAGAGATGATAAACCACTGGCCTGTTTTCAGCACAAAATGAAACTGGTTCAATTCAACCATTTCATTTTGATTGAGATCTTCTCTGTTCCAAGCAAGAATCCAGGCGCTGGAGACCTGTCAGTGAGATGACAGAAAATGCCCCACCTGGTGGGGCTAGCATTCCGTCTCCTAAACTAAGGTGGGCTTAGGAGAGCCTAAGGTGGGCCCACAGTCCACCTTGCCTTTGAAGGAAGGCAGGCTTCAGTCATCCAACAGCCTTCAAACGCAGAAGTTCAGCTTGCACCTATCACAGTCAGTTTCCAAAATAATGGACACAAATTGCACAGATCACCCTCACAACAGATATTTTTCTAGATCCAGCGTTTCCAAAGGGTGGTCTGTGCAGCCCAGGGAGTATGGAAATTATCAGCTAGGTGGATGGAAAAGACGGGTTTGACAATAGTTTTATATTTTTTGTTATTTTATTATATTTATATATAAGTTTATATATAAATATATATATCTCAATCTCAAATCTCTAATTTCTGTGTATATTTTATAATCACATTATATTATTATGATGTATATCTAATACATTTATATGTAGGTATATGTGCCTTTTTGTTTGTTGGTTTTAAGGCAAATTGGTGTCTGGTCTGTGCTACACTAAGCCATTGACTTGAGTCTTGTCACGTGCTACATTGACTGGATGGTAGATTGAATTGGCTTCAGGTGGGTGTAGCTTAACCAGAAGTTCAGCTCTTCTGGAAAATAGTTCTTTCCGAAGGTAATAATGGCTAAATGCATCCCTACAGGGACACACTTGGGGGAAGCTTTTTTTGGACTAAAAGAACTGCAGAAAACTAACCATTTCGAGAGATACTTGGGGAAAGAGTAAACCAAATCTTTTATGCCACCCTTAACTCAGGATGCAAGTAACTTTTGAGACATCCTGGGGCCTAGGGATGGGCTGAGGTCACACTATACATCCCAGGCATCAGTTACAAAGCTCCTCTGGGACCCACATTTGGGACCTGGTGACCGAGGGTGATGGCAAGAGAGTAGGGGGCACTGTTCCTGCTGATAAACCAGTCACATCACCAAAAAGAAGGCAAGTCAGGGGCCCTCGAGTAGCATCGATGAGCAATTGGACAGGATTGCCAGCCCCCATCCACCCCCACTCCTCGACCTGCTGCTGAGAGTTTTGTCATCAATGTACCTTCCTCAGGTCATGGCGTTGCCTCAAGATGATGCCCCAGCGCCTGATTAAAATGCAAATGTGGTGTCCAGAAGAGGCCACCCAGCCATTTTGTACATGAGCTTAGAGAATCAAGCAGAAAGAAAGAGATTTATTTTGACCAGGGGGAAGGAAGGAAGGTCGGAGGCATGGAGTGCTGGAGAGAACAGACTCCCAGCGAGGTGACACTTTGGGAGGTCTCAGGCACCCAGACGTGTTAGTGGGGAGGAGGACATTGGAGACAGACTTCCCGGCTGAGGCTCACCCTCGCCAGCGGGGAGGTTCGGGCTTCATGGGTGGCGGGGAGAACAGCAGGGTAAGGATTTACTCCAGCGCATTGTTGGCTCATGTTCTGGCTGTTCCTTGAGCTACCAGCCTACATACTGACAATTCAGAGAAACACATTCGGGAACAAAGTATTCTGTTCTCAGTAGTTACTTAATGGCATGCTTGCGTTTAAAAAACCACAGGGAACAAATGGAATGCCAAACTCGACTTTAATGCACAGGAAGATGGAGGCAGATTTTTTTAAATGTGATTGCCCCCTTGGATCCCTTTTAGGAAATCAGGAGAAAGGAGTCAGTGCCTCAGGCACCTCTAGAAGTTCGCAAGTAGGAGAAAGGGGGGTCTGGAGCTATGGAACTTAGTATTACTGTCCACTTACAACTAAGCTGGAAATGGATAGATGCCCACCATGACTGAAACTGACAAAAACCCATGGATAAGGAGTCCGTTCAAATCATAACCCTTCTCTAAAATGCAAGGTGGAGGTCCTTAGTTCTTGCACAATTCCCATTTTGTGTAAGTGCAGTCGCCACACTTGATTGTGCGATCACTGTGAAGAGATGAAGAGCGGGGAGTGTTCCAGATCAATATAATCGAGGCTGGATTTGCAATGCAGTGAAAATGATCAGATCCTCTGCAGGAACATCCCTGCTTTGGGGACCTCAGTGCCAGATCCTTTCCAGACCTTGGGTGGAGAAAATCGTTCTTTCGACCACATCCATCCAAACTTTGCATCAAGAGTTTCTGCATGGCCAAAATCTATAGGGAGTCAGAGCTTCGATGGAAGCCAGATTTGATGGCGTTCCTAAAATAGGTTCCTTTTTTAGCAGAGACCTTGAACCTGTAACATCTCTTCATTCAGGTGGCTTTTTGTGGTGGCTGTGGTCTACTCTGGGTTGAAAAGGGAAAATGGGTTTCATTTGAATGGTTAGTAATGAATCTGAAGAGCCTGTTTTTGTAGTTTCTTTTCTTTTAAGCTGTGAATAATTTTACAGGGTACGGAGCCCGCCTCATGCATGCCCTGAGGCCAGCAGGCACCCGGCTGGGGCAGCACACGCCTTCACTTAAAAAGGCTGAGGAGCGGCAGGATCCACCTGAATCCAATTACATCTGGTGAACTCCGACATCTGAAACGTTTTAAGTTACACTAAGTTCATAGCCTTTGTTAACCTTTCATGTGTTGAATGTTCAAATAATGTTCATTACAGTTAAGAATACTGGCCTGAATTTTATTAGCTTCATTATAAATCACTGAGCTGATATTTACTCTTCCTTTTAAGTTTTCTAAGTATGTCTGTAGTGGGATGGTATAGATTTCTTGTTTCAGTGCTTTGGGACAGATTAGATGTTATGTCAGTTGATCAGGTTAAAATTGTCTTTTCAGTTGTGTAGCTGGCGAATAATTTCCAAAATTACAATGTACTCATGGTGTCAAGGGCCTGAGGAACACTGGAAATGGAACAGAAATGCATAAATCAAGGGTTTGGATGGAGCAGTTAACTGTGTTGAAGTTACAACATTTCTAATTTTACTGTCATGGGTTTAGACATTTGTCACATTTTTAAAGTTCCCCTTGTTCTTAAACTCTCAATACACCATATTTTGACCGAATTTTGACCTCACCATGATTCCAGAGAATTCAGTATTGAAAGAAAGAGAAAGAAAGAAAGAACATGGTGGCAGTGGCATTTAACAATATAATATATTGTAAACACAATAAAATAGGGAATATAACGTATGGACTTTTGGCATTGGCTTGGAGCAATATAATATATTGTAAACAAAACACAGCTCTTACATAATGAACATTTTATACTGTTTGTATAAAATAAAGGTACTGCTTTAGTTTTCTGAGGGTTGTTTGGAGTGGTCTGTGCATGTGCAATCTTATGGAAATAAAGTCGGTGTCAATGAGTTGCAGTGAGTGGAAATAAAGTTGGTTACAAAGAAAACTTGGCAGAATTATAAAAAACAGAAGAGATTCTATTCTCTGACCCAGTCGGGCTCCCGAGGCCCACCTGTCCCTCCCCGCCCTCTCCCCCAGCTACACTCTGAGCCCTGCCCGAGACCTTCCCATGTTGGTCAGCTCCCATTTAGTTGGCATTGGTTTTTAGACGTTGTCTCTTCACTAGAATGTGTTAAATATCCCTTCAGAGGGAGACTTTGTAAGACTTTCTAAAAGTGTCAGAATGTTGCAAATGACAAGAGCTACCATTTATGAAAAACCTATTGGTTCTCAAGAACATGATAGTGTGTTACCTTACAATCAGTTGAGGCAGGTATCATTTTGCCCTTTTACAGATAAGAAAACTGAGGTAGGAAGATACACAGCAATTTATCCAAGATCACACTCGAGTGGGACGGGTTTGAATTCATGTCACCTGATTCTGGAGAATTCGCACAAGGTGGTTCCCCCTCCTTTTTTCTCAGCAAATGCAGTAGAACACAAAAGTCCACAAATCCCAAGGCAGGTACTGTCCCATATATTTTAGCCTCCTCGTCCTGCCAAGGAAATGTGGACTTTATGTTATAGACAATCCAAAGCCTATATGTTCTTCTTTTGCTGGGCAGTGGCCTAATGACTTGTGTGGTCCAGGAATGTGACAGGTCATGGGAAGTGATCAAGGGAGAAGCTGAACGCAGAGTGAACATGTCTTTTCATGGTGCAGGGCCACGGCAGTCTTCCTCCTCTAACTAGCCAGAGCCTAGAGTGCCAGCTTCTGTTCACACAGACTTGGAGGAGCAGGCCAAGAGCCAAGGAGCTCACCATGGGAATCCCAATATGAAAACCAACTGATTTAAGACTTTGAAGTAAAAATCCAGATGCTTGATAATGAGGGTTTAAGACGGTGACAGAAAGTTAAGTTTGGGGATAGGATACTACTACTAATAGCTAACACTTATACAGTACTTAGTTTATTCCAAGCACTTTACCTCATGGATGACTAATAAAATGGCAGGGAAGTTAGACTGAAGGCAGTGTGACAAACCACGACAGTCTACGTGGGTCATCTCCAAACCATTCTGACTCCAAACCAATCATACTTCATTAGAAAATTCTGAGCACATACTCCTACATGTGACTATTATTTATTTACATATTTAACTGGTATGCTTTAAAAAAGCCAGATATGTTGAAGAGATAAAAATATAAGTAGAAGCTCTAACATTTTCTCCATTTATCCAGAAGATAGTTTTATGCACACCCGGGGGTACACACCCATAGGAGAACTCAGGCTAAGAGGAGCGAGAGGAGGGCTTTAGAATCAGAGTCTGCACTCAAGAAGGATTTCAATCGTAAGCAAGGGACTGGGTCACTGGGTGAATGCAGGGTTCCGAATGGAACTCCGAATGGAACTCGGAATGGAATTCCGAGAGGAATCCGAATGGTGACTAAGGAGGAAGTGTAAGTGACTAAGGAGGAAGAAGTATGGGCAGTGGTGAGGGTTTCCAGAGATGCTGAGTTTGGTACTGAATATATTGAGCTTAATGTGTCTTTGGGACATCTTGGTGGAAATGTCTGATAGGCAACTAGAAGTACTGTTATTAGGATGTTAGTCTGATAATTTGTTGATTATTAGTTTTACTATAAGTGAATAGTACTAATTCTATATTGAATTGCTTTTAATATAAATATACATAATAGCTTTATTTGGTGAAGTGCAATACAATTCACTTGTGTTTTATTGTGTCTTTATTTTGTTTTAAAGATTTTATTGACTTATTTGAGACACAGAGAGAGAGAGAATGCATGAGCGAGGGTTGGGAGGGCAGAGGGAGAGGGAGAAGGAGACTCCCTCCAGAGCAGAGACCCTGATGTGGGGGCTCCAAGCAGGGCCTGATCCCAGGACCCTGACATCATGACCTGAGCTGAATGCAGACACTTAATGACTGAGCCACCCAGGCGCCCCTTTATTGTGTCTTTAGATCCTGAATAGTTAATACCATTTGCCGCTTTCCTGTGTCTATGTTTATTTGTATAACAGGGTATAGCTTTTACTATATTTATTTATTTATATATTTATTTGGCAAATTGGCAAATTTATTTGTATTTATTTATTTGGCAAATTGATCTCCTTCCCCTGTGTGCATTATGAATCTTCATCCAAAATATGCCCTTTGGTTACTTTGTCAGGTTATGTAGAATCACAACAAAGACCAAGGATATGGGATATGAAATAATTGTTGTTACTCTTCTGAAGTAACCACAAAAGAGAAGAAGGGAGAGGAAGAAGAAGAGAAAGAAGAGAAAGAGGAGGAGGGGTGCCTGGGTGGCTCAGTTGAGCCTCCAACTCTTGATTTCAGCTCAGGTCATGATCTCAGGGTCATGAGACTGAGCCCTGCATTGGACTCTGGGCTGAGCCTGGAGCCTGCTTGGGATTTTCTCTCCCTCTCCCTCTGCTCCTCCCCTCACCTCCCCTGAAAGAGGAGGAGAGTATTTATATAAAATACCTCTAACAATGCTTTAAAAGTTAAAAGAGTGAGGAGTTAAGGTGGTCTGAGAAGATGTGTACAGTCTGGCAAGATAAAATTAGTAGGAAAACTTAAGCAAGAGAAAATAAAAGCTAAACAATAAAATGGGCCCAGGGAATGAGGTTAAGATAAAAGGCTACAGGGACTCCTGCACACTTGTGAGAGGTAGGTGGATGACTCATTTAGCTCTAAGCCCTGCTCCAGCCGCCTCAAGGAGGAAATTGGGGCTGTTATGAGTCCCAAAACCGTAAACACAAAAAATAACTAGTTGCTCAGGAGAAGTTAAACTATATAAGACACTTATGTTAGGGCTGGATTAAGACAGGAAGGTCTGTAGGAAAGCTGCTTTAAAGCCAATAGTCTTTAAAATATCTCTTCCATATGTGGGGTGCCTGGGTGGCTCAGTGGGTTAAGCAGCTGCCTTCAGCTCCGGTCATGATCCCAGAGTCCTGGGATCAAGCCCAGCTCAGTGGGGAACCTCCTTCTCCCTCTTCCACTCCCCTGCTTGTATTCCCTCTCTCATTGTCTCTCTCTCTGTCAAATATAAAAATAAAATTTAAAAAAAAGAAAATATCTTTTAAAAGAAAAACTTCTTCCACATTTATTTACAAGGAGCTGCTTAAAGAGGTTTTTAAAAAAAAAAGGGTTCCTAACAGGGTTCAGCTTCTCATCCAGTATCCCAGGCAGTTTGTCTCCGGTCCTAAAATTCCATGCCCCACCCAGCAAGCAAAACTCTCCAGTTCAATCCAGCCAAGATGTTCAGAGGGAAGTTTACAGAGTGTACTGTTTACTTGATCATGCTCCTGGAAATTCTTAGCCCCTCCCCAAGTGGCTTCTCAAAATATTCCCTGCAACCATATACAGTACCCCTCCTAAAAGAAGCTTTGGTAATGAGATTTTTTTTCTCATCTCATTCCCTATCCAGTGACCCTTAGGATACATTTCTAGCTTGTTGGGCTTGGCATCACCCCCAGATGAGCTAGCCCTTCCGCCAACTCTAACCGAAAGTGGGGAGCAATGTCTCCTGTGGGTTCTCGCACGGAGGTCAGAGGGTCACGCATGACACATGACTCAGTTATATAGACCGAGTAGCCACAGGTAGAACTATTTCTTTCCATGCTCTTCAAGAAGGCACAAATCATCACAGTAAAATACAGTTTCATAACAGCATTTCTACCAAAGTAAGGAAGGAAGAGAGAACACGGTGAGGTGAGCAATTTTTAAATTAGTTAAATGAGAAACATGGCCATTTCAGAAGAATTTCCTGAGGCAATAAAAAGGAAAGAAAAGGAGAGAAAACAAAGGACTATCCAAAGACAGGGGTTTCATCATCATAATTTTTAGGCAGTTTATGCAAGTGGTGCAAATATAACAGTTTAATAAGCTTATTGAATAAATGTCCTCCAGATGGCTCAACATAAAAAAAATAGAAACAATCTACAGGAAACGGACATCATAAAACAAAGTATTCAGGTGTTCAGTAAGACTTTTTTTTAAATTCTAATATAAACTCCAGTGGAAATTGATTTTGCACCTATTTACTGGTTTATTGTTAATAAGAATCTAGAAATTACAAATGAAAAATAGTTTTTATTAAGCTTTGGTATTACAAAGCTTTTCCTAGGTAACACAATTCCCTTCCTGATCATGTTTGGCTGGCACAGCTGTTGGAATTACCTGGCATTTCTCCAAAGTCTAGACCAAGAGAAGGCCACTCTGAGATGACAAATAATCCATATGATCCACAGGAGGACCACTGAAAGCTGACTCACAACAGAGTGAATATCAGCTTCCCACTCCAGTGACCATGACACTGAGCATGGTCTTGAGGCTGCGTCTGGGGCTATAGGTGGGAGAGAGAAGAGCAAGAGGAGAGTGGAGAGCCTTTGTCAACAATAATCCAAGCAGAGACTAGCTGTCTCATTAGAGGGGCCCAATGCAAGATGAAAATATGGGGCCCCTTGTTCAAAAAGCATTAAGAATATCACCATGGTAACCACAGGGCATTAAGCCTGGGGTGTTTCTCCAAGCAAGGGCACTGTGCAACAGCACAGTTCACACATCCATGAAGCTGGCCCTGACCAGGTGCAAGTTCTTAGGTCCGTGGACAGGGAAGTCTAGGTAAAATGCAAAACATCTTCCTCTCCTAAGACACTGGCCAGATAAGCTCTTCCGTGCCTGTCCCTCTCTCAACTTCAAAACCCAAGCCTTGAGAGAGGAAGACTCATTCACCATCAGACCAGATAAGTCAGTAACCATTTACTGCCTCACTACTGTATTAATACCGCAAACACAAAAATAGGGAAGAAAATATGGGGCAAATTAAGGGAGAAAAAATGTATTGCTTTATACTTCAGTCTAGTTCTTTGAACCTCATTTCCCAGTTAGGAAAGAATTTGTAGCTTGCAGTTAGAGCTCACAAGGGAAAGATATTTTTCAGA